TATATATATATATATATATATATATATATTTCCTTAACGGATCATGCCATCACGACAGGTTATTCACCAAACGATGGGTGATAAAAACTGCATTCATGGACGAAACAAATTTATAAATCACTAAAAAACTGATCAAAACCTAACAATTTTTCCACAGAGTCTGAGGCGCGTCATGATGTGGGTTTAAGTTTATCGCGGCATTTGTGGACTCTGACGTGGCGTTTTATAGCCATGCTGGGAAAACAAACGCGGCTTGGCACCTCCCAATTTTGTGGCCTCGTTACTGAGCCGTTTCGTTTCGCTTCCTGTCAACATGTCTTATTTGACCATTCTATCTTTTCTGATAAGTAGTTTGGCAGATTTGATAATTTAGAAGAGATCCATTTGCGAAAAATCTGGACTTCGGCTGGATTCGAAGCAGCGACAGAAACACCATGCCCAAACGTGCAAATGGATCTCTTCTAAATTATAAAATCTGCCAAACTACTTATCAGTAATTCGATGTCAATGCTCATCGGTGTCGTTGGTAGACTCCAGCGTGAACTGATCCAGAAATCCTGCTTGGGCAGTCAATCGGCTGAATCATTTGGTGGATTCCATATGACACAGTTGGTTGGGTGGGTAACTAGGTCCAAATGTGCAATTTCTGAGCTTCCGGTGTGGCTTCGTAGCTCAGCTGGTGGAGTGCTTGTTGCGTTTTGGCATGTTGTTTCTGTCGCTGGTTCGAATCCAGCCGAAGTCCAGATTTTTCGAAAATGGATCTCTTCTAAACATTCTATCTTTGATGAAGATAACTCCGTACAATTATCAGGTTTGTTCGCACACTGACTTCTCTAAGGTTGTACAGACTTTAAGTGTAGATGCTTCTGATGACGGTTTAAAAACAACAGTTTCATTTCACGGAAGACACGTCGGACATGCAGACTCTGGGGTGACTAATTCGAACTGTGTGTGTGTTTGTGTCTGTCTGCTTGTCTGTCTATCTATCTGACTCTGGTCATGTTGATTTACGTTGAATCATACGCTTTTCAGTTCAGTCGTGACCACAGAGCTGATAGTATCCGTTATGTATACGAATCTGTCAATTACCTCTAGCGGTATGCTGTTCCAGTGACAGATCGAAACTGTTGTTAGGCAAAGATAAGAAAAACTGGGAAGAAAAGTAGTGAAAATGCAATACGAGAAGTGGTTCAATATGCGAGTACACGTTGAGGCAATTCTAGAGAGGATAGTCGTTGGAGAGAATTAATTATACACAAAGGTACGATAACTTATGGGTCCACCCCAAGTTGCGCTAACTCTTTCAAGCCTAGCCGTTGCCCCAGGTTCACCTTGTCACGTAAACTTCAACAGCTGCAATATGCAGATGTACGTTATCACTTACTTGACAGTTCAAATTTACCGCCGTTTGTCGGTGTTATCAGTTGACCAAATCCCTTGTAGATAACACTTGACTCTCTTCGCGTATTACCCAGGCCACTTAGCCAAGAAGTAGATCGGTCGAGTTGAAACGAGGGAAGGTTTAGCTTTCCAAAAGGTGCACCTAAGCCACCTCTTTCGAGGAAATAACCGAGCCTACGCAATGTACGGTACTCAAACTGAGGCTGCAACCCGCAGTCCCCTGAAAAAATTAACGTAAAACAATCGACAGGAACCATTCAAGAGAGTGATATAACAGTAAGCGTCACAAGTGCTTTATGTTACGGCCAATGGACACATTCGAGCTGAAGGTGTCCCTCATTTGGTCATTGGACGTATATGTTCAGTACGTCAGCTGAGGTACACCTTATCCTTTCAAAGAAGACCTAATGGTGTCCCCGTGTATGAGATGTATGCAGGTTCACTTTGATCTTACCATTTAAGCAAATGAGATATCATTGATGAATCCATGAACCATGGGTTTCAGCCCGTAATAACCGAGGCTGCATCTGTAACTGATTACATAAAAACGTTCGTCTATTTTTATTTATGTTCAACCGCATAATTTGGTTTAATATATGTTTCACAGGTCTTAAGGGGGCATTAGGGTGAAGTGTTCATCCGAGCTCGGAAGCACCTGTTGCACTGGAAGCTAATCAACGCATCCCTCGGTTGTCTCACCTTGACAAAACTGTTAGTCGGCCTCTTCGCCTCGCATGCACGGTGTCCACTCGCCTTCTCAGCTAGTCTGTAAGGACATTTCTAAACATCTAGAATCAGTCGGAAATTTCTGGCATATTTATGCGCATCTACTGGAATTCCACTATATCCCCCCATTGACGTGGACAGCACAAACGCAAAATGTAATGTTAGTCACATGTGGATTGGTCACATGATAGTTCACGTCCAACCAGACACTAGTACTGTCGACGAAGTGATAAAGCATTTCCAGCTATCGTAGCACCTGCCATTCACGTGACTAGATGACGTTCGACCAGCGAATAGGCTTAAGAGTATCAGAAATTTTGAGTGACCGTATAACTTGCCGCGACAACTTTTCATGCCTTTGTATATATGCCTTTGTATATAGTTCGTTTTTTATGAATATCATTCAAGCAAACTTCAGTTAAAAACATTCCACCAGCACCTGTTCATCTGTTGTGAAAAATACTTGTTAGTAGTTGGGTAGTAGAGAAGATGTTATATGGCCGTACAGTTTTATCGCGAGGTGTAGTTCTCTATATTCCATCAAGTTCTCATCTTATTCTGGAGAGCCATCACCAGGTACATCTCTCCCAAATATTCACAAGTGTGTACGCAACCGTAAAACTTCGTTCCTTGAATTATACGGAGCCAGCTGGAGGTAAGTCTTATGTGTTCAAAAGTTAATTGATTACAACACTCCTGAAGAGGGCCACCCGAGGTGGTTGAAACGTAGAGTATTACAACTTGCTCGTAACGTTGTGTTATTCCCAATCCATTTATTAACCGCATTCTAGTTTATCCCTACCGTGATTGTAGCTGATTAATCAATGACACAGTAACGATATCTTCAGATTCACCCTTAACTCACTGTGCTCGCTTTACGAGTCCCTGTCATACTGTGGTGGATTATGAGGTCAGAGGTGCGAGTATTTAAACCCTCAGCGGAATACCCTAAAGCGGGGGAAGGCACGACCACAAATCTTCAACGATCGGATGGCGGACAACGGGGGCAACCGGATGAGTCATCGCTCGACCGGATCGGGCCAACGGGCGAGATATGGCAGACAAAATAGGATGGACGACCAGATCGGAGGTGGGATCATTCCAACACTCGAGGGAATATCTCGACATGGTCGTGAAGGACAGTCAAAGCCCGCAGTGGATAGATGGAGGACAACACGAGCGACCGGACGAGCCATCGCTCAACGAAATCGAACCAACGGACGGAGAATGGCAGGCGGAAAACCCCTCCTTAGAAGACGCCGATCACATACATAAACCGGACAGAAGTGCACACGATGTGTTAGCGGAAACGCGGGGTTGATGTGGGCTGGAATTCTGACTCATAAACGCGAGCGCGCAGGTAGCATGGTAACTAGCGAGTTGGACAATAAAGATTGTGTTTTATTGGACGACTTTTCGCTACAATACGACGTGTATTCAATAACCTGCCTGTTCACAAGTTACTTGTATCTTCGCGTTTTTGATCGTTCCATTCGAGAAAGTCGTTTTTGGTGAAAGTTCAGCTGCAAACGGTACATCAGTTCTACGCATTCGACTTTTTCTCACTGGGAGATATACTGCAGTTTAAGTCGGGAGATAGGAAGCATATATTTGTGCATATCTCATAACATAGACTAACTGCATTTGCTGTCAGTAGTACCGACTAAATAATCAATAAGAACGTCATAACGAGGCTGGATCTGGACACAGTGTGACGGCTAGCGCATCTCGATAACCTACTGGGCTAAACTGGACGGTGTGGCCACCACACCGATAGAGTCACTCATACCAGGCAGGCCAATAGGTAGAGGTCTGACAAACCAGTCTCCTGGTCCTCCAGGTTGTGGGATGGAAGAAGGCTGGCATCTTTTCCGAAAAATGTACTAGTTCTGGTACACTGCCACCCACCCGCTGCCTTGCGGTATAGGCTTTTGAGCCAAAGGCTTTGGTTGAGAACCCTAATCGTTCTTCTGTCTAGGTCTGGGCGCCCTGGCAGAATAGTCACAGCACAAGTATTCCATACTACATCGGCCGTCTCGCAGTATAAACCGGGTCGCTCTATCTGCTGCATACAGCAGGGTGTATAGGCGAAAACATGTTACTGCTAACCCCTTCCCCACTGTCCTATCAAATTTAGTTCTCAGGCCCCTGCCGAAATCCATTTCTGATAGTTATTCCACAGGTCACACAACAGATGTAGCTAACCGCAGTAACACTGAGCCGGTAAGTTCCGTCTGTTGCCATTTAGATTCAGGCCTCTCTCGCCCCTTGCTTAGACCTAGAATGCGAATTAATATAGGTGCCTTCAACGTTCGCACTCTAAAACCGATAGGTCAACAGGCCGCTCTTGCACGAACGTTAGACTCGTTGCATGTCGATGTCTGCTGTATCTCTGAAACAAGAATCCAGGACAGTAGTCAACGTATGGAACTAACAGCACCTACATTGTCTACCCGATACTGGTTATACACTTCAGGTGACTCCACAGCCGTTGTTACAGGTCAGGCTGGAATGGGTATAGTCCTTAGCTCGACAGCCGCATTGATAGATTGGATTTCTGTTAACAGTAGACTTTGTGCTGTCCGACTAGCAGATTCCGTTAAGGCCAGCTCAAAACACAAGACTTGCAGAAATCTATTAATTGTGTCTGCTTACGCTCCTACTGACTGTAGTGACGTCGGCGTCAAAAACGCGTTTTACTCGGATCTGGCCTCTCTCCTTCGGTCGACACGTAGCTCCGATATAGTCGTTCTGGCCGGAGATATGAATGCTCAGGTCGGCCGCCTTGGTGAGGCCGAATCTCGTTTAGGTTGCAGGTTTGGGATAACGTCACATCGGTCAGATAATGGCGGACGATTGTTGCAACTGTGCGCTGAGTATAAGCTACTGTTAGCCAGCACTAGTTTTAGGCATCGTGCACGTCATTGCTATACATGGCGCCCGCCTACTCCGAATCAGGCCTGGTCTCAGATAGACCACATAGCTGTTAGTTACAGGTGGTGTGGTTTCATCCAAAACTGTCGTTCTTGTTGGAGCACGTACTTGGACTCAAATCATGCACTAGTATGTTGTCGTTTTGTTCTTACTTTTGCTGGTCAACGACCTCATCGACAGCAACGACTGGCTGTTGAGAAATTGGCTTTACCATCGGTAAAGCATAAGTACCAAACCAGCTTAGAAAGCTGCCTTAGTGGTACTCACACCGAAGACCCTAATAGCTGCTGGACACAAATCTCACAAGCTATTCAGAAAGCAGGTACTATAGCATGTGGCACAGGGGTACATGGATTAAACAAACATTGGATCACAGAGAAATCTCTGGAGTTGTTTGTTAGAAGGCGCATCTCCTAACGAGACAGCCAGGACGCGTCACGCCACATCGGTCGGCCGGCTCAGCGGTCGAACCTCTGCGCACTATCTGGACTGTCTATTTTCTCGCGTTGCTCTTTGATGTCCCCGGTAACGTGATCTGTTCTGACCCCCTGACTACCATATATAACTGTCTCATTTGATTCGCTTTGTGTCTGTCGGTCATCTATGGTAATCGTTTTGTCCTATAAATTTGGAGCTTCTGTGGTCTAGTTTTGTCTCGTCTCGTCTAGCTCGTCCAATAAA